GTTGGTATACCTCTTCCTCCGTTCTGGCAAGTCCAGATCGCCTACTCGAAATTGCAATTTCAGCTTTTTCGCATAGTCCATGGGGCCGTCCAAGTACTTCTTCATCCCTATCCCTTCTTTCAACTTCCCGTATATCTCCAAGTGGTCTTCGCTTCGTACCTTCTTGCGAAGGGTTGTCTCCTCCCTACTCTCTAGCATCTCCTTGACTTTCGTCTTGAACCCCCCGAACCCTTCCGTGTCCAACGTCTCCTCCTCGTCTCCTATCTCCTTCCAAACCTTCTCTACCACCTTGTCCCATCTGATTCCCTTCTTCCCTGGAGTCGCTTTTCCCCAAGCTGCCTCGTCAACCATGGCTGGTAGTCTATCGTCCGACATTCTACTTACCTTGTACTGCCACTTCAACTTCTGCATGTCTCTCTTTGTTTTAAGAGAGTACATTCCCAATTCTGCTCTCAATACAGTGTTGCTCGTTGTGCTTGAACATCCTAGTATTTTCTTGGCCGCTGCCATCTGCACCGTTTCCAGCTGCTTGACGGCCTTTTCGTTACCTTCCCATATCTCTCCTGCATACTCTAGCTTAGGTACAATCACCTTCAAGAGAATACACCTCTTAATCCTAGTGTCTAGGTGTGGGTCCGTAAGGATCTCATCCATCTTGCCTATCTGAGCTTTACCCTTCCCAATCAACTTCGCTATGTGTGCGTCCCATGAGCACTCCTTCGAAATCTCTACTCCCAGGTACGTATACTTGTCTACTACCGGTAGTTCTTCCTCCCCCCATTTCCATTTGAATTCTACGGGATTTTTCTTATCTTCGTTACAGACCACTACTGCGCATTTTCCTACGTTCGCCGACAGTCTCCATTTTCGGGTGTATCCTACCGCCGCATCTATTTGTTCTTGCAACCCTTCTGGTGTTTCGGATACCCCCACGAAATCATCTGCAAACATCAGTCCGGACACACTCTTTCCCTCTACTTGGACTCCCTGTCTTACTGCTTCAACCGCCCTTATCAAATCGTTGATGTAAATCTTAAAAAGAGTGGGTGACATCGTACAGCCCTGTGCGACTCCTTGGAGTATATCCACGTACTTCGAAATTTCCCCATCCAACATCACCGCACTTCTTGTGCATTCTGTCATCTTTTTCAACATCCTCCACATTTTCCCCCGGATGCCGATGTCCCACATCTTTTTCCACAATCCATTGCGCCATACGGTGTCGTAGGCTTTTTGTATATCGAGGAAGAAACAGTATGTCGTACGCCCGGCGTCTTTCCTACCTTGGATGATTTTACTCAACGTATATACATGGTCTACACAACTACGATCTGGTCTAAATCCAGCTTGTCCTTCGCTGATCTTTTGTTTCCCCTCCAACATGTCTCCCATTCTATTGTCTATCATCTTGCCAAACAGTTTCCCCACTGTGCTCAACAGGGTTATCCCTCTATAATTCCCCGGGTCAGCTTTATCCCCCTTTTTGAACAGGTTCACGACTAGTCCTTCTCTCCATCTGTTCGGCGCGTACTCGTGTTTCCATATCCAGTTGAATATCCGGACCAACATGTTAATCATCCCCTCCCCCCCCTGTTTCAAAAGCTCGTTCACAATTCCATCAGCCCCTGCCCGCTTTTCTATTCTTGAGTTTCGCTACGCAGTCCTCTACCTCTTCTCGTGTGAACTCTCCCTGCAACCCGTCTACATCACTACGTTCCCTCTGAGATCTTTCAACGTTTTCCTCTGCCCACAAGTTGATTTCCTTCTCAAACTCCGAGTCCAAGTTGTCGTTGGTGGTGGGTGTCCCAAAT